GAAATGTCAAAGCATACTGAGCATCTTTCTCTTTGACACCATGTCTGAAATCCCACGTGATCTGTCAAATACTAATGCATGAAAATCCTAACCTCAAAAAAATCACCCGTTATATATATTTGTATATTTACATTGTTGTAGTGGCACTTATGTAGCTCCAGCATTAACCTCAATCAAACTTCAGATGCATTGACGTTGTTGGCGCTGAGCTGCCTTAGCCACAAATGCACTTGAGCCATGCATTGCCAGTAACGAATTCATTTTCATGGTCACTCAAAAAACGAAATTGAAAAATCGTTAAGTACTTTCATTGCCTTTCTTGTTATTGTTTTTGTAATCTCTAGTACATTTTGTCGATTTGGTAAGCGTTATACAAATACGGCTTTCGAAAAGCTAAGTAGGGACATACAAAATAACACTCGAGCACATATAAATGTGTGTGTGTGTTTTTTGTTGTTGTGAAATTGTAGCCTTATTTTTGTTTTTGTATTTTTGTAGGAAGGATTGTGTGTCTCAAGTGCCAATATGTTGTGGTTGTTGCCATCGGTTGCTTTGCCGGCAATTAAACTCGACGCGCTAATCAGTCGTTCTCATTGTAGCCCCATTCTCAGTGTCCATGGTGTTCGGTGCTGGCGTGGCCGTTGGTGCTATTGTCGTTGCCCTTGCGCGTGCGTCTGGTTGCTCTTTCACAGATATCAGATTTTTACGATGTGTTGATGGATGACTTTGAGATCAGGCTGTAACAAATCTGTGTACATATGTATGTATGTTAGTATTTTTAGAGATCGTTAGTTGCGAAAGAAATTGATTTAAGATTTGTAAAAGTATACAGAATTTACTGCAGGCATGCCCTCTAGGAAATATCTTGACCAACGGAAACGATACTTTACTACTATGACTTGGTTTTATCTGTCCATCACAAGAAGCTTTAGGAATAAAGATTTAGACAAGAAGGAGCTTAGAAGTGTTACTGAGCACTTCACGGCCAAACTGGACGCTTTTCTGGATGAGATCCGTTTTCGATGGCAAAAATTCTGATTGCCTTAGCTCAGCTTTTGCTACATAAACCTAATAAATGAAGATTTCAGTGCAAATACATGCCATGCACAAACTTGGTATGAAGGTAATTAAAATGTATTCGTTTTGTATCTGCATTATCTTCCAAATTAGAAAATTGTGGAATAAAAGAGCAGGGTAAATCAAATTTTATCAAAATTTGATTTTTAACATTAGCGCCTATTTTGTTAAGGTTGGTGGATGAAAACGTTAACCGATTTCCACGTTCTTTTAGATTCTTTTCTTGGTAAAACCATCATAAACTCGGAATTTCGTCAAAAAATTGAAAACATTTACCATTTCCGCCCAGCCAAAAGTGCAGGGGGCGTGGCAGTGCGTCGACTTTTACCAATTTCCACATTTCTTCATTCCTGAGTGCAGGAGAGGAGTCTGTAAAAAGAAAGGCAAACCGCGGCATCCCGCAAGGTTTATATAGTGAATATTCTGCTGTCACGGTTACCGGGCACAGGTTGTCCGGTGTTTGCTTACGCCGATGATCTTGCCCTGATGGCAGTTCGTAAGCACATCCAAGTACTATGCGACCTAGTCCAATGCGCTTTACGCGTTGCGGAAACCTAGTCCATGACATCTGCTCTTAGTGTCAATTCGGAAAAACTATCATGACAAACAAACTGACAAAGCCTGAAAGGGTAGAGTGCATGATGCTCATATGGACCTAAATAGTAAACTACAGGAAGGCTGTGAAGCTATCAGACTACACATTTTGATAAAGTGAATTGCTACGAGCTTCCGGGGGATGATTTCCAAAGAAAGATCCACCACAGGGGTGATTGGGAGGCAAGCTAGGCAAGCAAAGGAACCTTATTGTCTGCAATCAATACCGCTTGAAATGCGGGCATTCCGCTATTTTCCTGCAAACTACTACTGGAAAAAGTCTTTATCAAACGGGCAAACACAAGGTGGACTGTGGAACTCATGTGCAGGATAGCAAGGCATATTTGGCCTGAGTTGGATAAACGCAGATCTCGGTCAGTCCTCCGATTTGAGCGTACAATTTGCTGAAACGCAATTGGAGTTCTCACCGGGCACTGCCTGATGGAAACCCACGACTGCATACCGTTAAACGATTACTGTCTTAGCTGCCGTAATGTGGAGGAAATCGAAAGCGTAGAGCACTTTCTAAATCAATGTCCGGCATTGGCGGGGGCTCGATGTTGTTGTTGTTGTTGTAGAAGCGTGCAGCTTTTGTAGGGTCCGTCTATAGGGCCAGAGGTGTTAACTGAGTGGGGTTTAGTGGGCACGCGAAGAGAAGTCTCGAGTCGTGGGGTGTCTATCCGAGACAATCGAGGCGAGGGCTCGTCAACGCTCGTTCCCTCACTGCCTTTTTGAATGTTTGGCTGTTTCAGCTGGCATCTATGACATTGTGGTTTCACTTTTAAGGTAAGAGGAGGGAAATAATGAGTCTTTTATATGGCATCACAAAGGGCCCATAATATAACCCTAACCTAAGTGCAGAATGATGCATATACGAAATGTCAGGAAATTTATAGTACGGTTACTACTTTTGGCCCCACTGTGCGTCATCGGTTTCGGTAGTAATATGCACTTTTTTTGTCTAATATCTCATTATCAATAGCGACGATGGTTCCATAATAACAACAAAAATTACAAAATATATCGACAATTATATTTAAATACTTCAAACGACGTCAAAGACATCACAGTGGTCAAAAAACACTCCCTCTAAATTTTTCTCAAGAAAGTAAAACATCGAAAATTTTATTTAATGAATTTTTATTATTTTTTTATTTAATAATTTTTTGTGTTTCCTTTTGGAATATTTTCATTCACACGTAATATTTTCTCAATACGCAATAATTAGCTTTAATGTGTATGGATTTTAGGTTTTAAGTTACTTACAAGCTTGTTTTATACATAAATATTTAGATTTTCTTAATTTTTTTCCAATAAGCAGCTACTTTCAATTTACTTAATTTTTTTCTTTTTTAATACAATTACATTTTTAGTAGTTACAATACCGTTTAGCAGTTCTAAAGCAATTTTAAAATTTTTTATGTATGCACTTGCTTCAATACATTACTAGTAGAACTTGCAAAACGCGCCTCGACATGGAGCAAGGCAACGCTCGCATTTCTAAAACACACTGAGATACGTTTTTGAACAAACAACACATTTTGCGTAAATTTACAAAAGCTTAGCAAATAAAAAGGAATACAACTCAAATTTACAAGGTATCACGTCCCACTGTACGGTGGTGTGCCAGCCATAATTGTCTTGCTGATACTTTTCAGCAAATATTTGCACGAATTTGATATGATTTGAAAACAGAATTTACAAAAGCTCAACGGAGAAGGTGGATTCTAATGCGCCAATGCATGAAATTTCTCACAAATTTTCAGCGAAAGGTTGGCGCTTTAGCAACACATTCCCCGCCGTTCACGCGCAAAAAGCAACAAAAATTAAATTTCTCAATTCTAATTAACTACTTAAACAAATTTGATTATAAATTACTAGATACAGAATAATTTAATTCTCTTCTACAATTAGTTTACAAAAACCCTCTGCTTGAACCTTCATTTTCCGTTTAATACTGTTTTTGGCTCTAACATCAACACCACAACAACAATACAATCACCACTACCACCTCCGCTTAATTGTGTGGGCTACGCGTCTGCGGTGGCGCCGTCAACGTCTGTTGCTGCTGCTGCGGCACTTGGTAGGGGCTGAAACGTTGAAATTGCCGAGGTCGCATATCGGGCGACGGCGAACCGCCCGACGACGTTGACGATGGCGTCGATGCTGTTGGTGGAGGTGGTGGTGTACGATTGGCTGCCGCCGCCGCTGCTGCTGCTGCTGCTGCTGCAGCCGCCTGCGCTTGAGCTTGAGCTTGTGCTTGGGCTTGCGCCTGAACAGCGACAGCTTGTGCGGCGGCCGCTTGCTGATTGGCGCTGGCCAAAAATCCGGCCGTCAGTTGTGGCCATTGCTGCTGGAACATGTGGAATGCGCCGAGGCCGGGTGGTGGTGGCGCCTGCTGTGCATACATTTGTGGCATCATTAGCTGTGCGTACGGCGAATTGCCGCCAAACATTTGCAGATGTTGACGCGCCTTCTCGAAAATGGCCATCGAGGTGGGATCGACGCCTTGCTGCGCGGCGAATTGTTGCATCAGCGGGTCAGGGAAGAGGCGTAGCGGTGAGCGAAGTTGCTGTTCGAGCAACAATGCCTCCATGGGATCGCGATCGAAGTCGGTGAGACGTGACGAATCGCGAAAACCTTTGGCGAAGGGATTCGAGTCGATTTTCAGTTTGGTTATTAGCTGATTTTGGTATGCGGTGACGGCGGTGAAGACGGTCTCGGGAAAAACGTACGTCTTATGGTCGAGTTCCTGCAGTTCTTTGGGATTTGTGGGTATGCTTTGGCCATGGCTGAGGCGAACCAAATGGATGCGCGGCTGGTAACGATGCATAGAATTCAAAACAATCTGGAAGAAGAAGAAGTATAGAGGAAAAAACGAAAATATTTATTAGTCTTGTGTTCGAGCGAGTCAAGTGGAGATTTTTTTGTTTAGCTGTTATGTATTATGTAGTTACATACAAATATGTATTTATGTGTGCCTTCTTATGAGCGGGATGGCTTGAGAGCGCACATGCGCAGTAAAAACTCTACAAAAGCGCGCTATGTATTTTATAAAAGTTTGTGTGTAGTTGTCTGTTTTTGTGGCAGAGAAGCTCGAATGCAGATGAAATTAAATGAAACACATTGATACACACTTATGTATCTGCAGTTCGAAAATCCCGCAGAGTGGAAATTTGGAAAATAAAATTAAAAAATTTAAAAATCACAAAATTGATGGCGTATTTAATAGGGTTGGTGGGTACGGCGTACAAAGCTGAAATGGCGTTCAACTCAACGCGCTAAGTGCATACAGACGAATAGCTAAATATGTATGTATGTATGTGCATAGGTCTTGGTCCAATTGCTTATTTTTACTACAATATAAAATAAATTAAATGAAATTGAATTAAATAAAAGTAAAAATAAAATTTTAAAATTTAAATCCAAACAAAATTACGAAGCCACAACTCTCACTCTTGGTGGGGGTTTTAACTGGTCAATGTCCAATCGGTGTTCACGCAGTAAGGCTATCTCCTTAGGTGCCCAGCGTACGCGAGCCTAAAGTTGAAATAATTTGGCTCTCACACCTTTAATAGCCGCAAGGAGCTTTCAGACGTTTTATCGATTAAAAATTGGGTGCCGTTTAGAACGTGGAATCGCAAAGGACAATCTCCTAAATGTCTAAGTGAGACCCTGGCATCTCGGACTGCCACCTAAACTAACCTAAGATAAATCTATAAAATTGGAAAAAGCAAATTGAAACAAAATAATATTAAAATTAAATTAAATTATAAGTTTAAGGTGAAAATAAATTTAAAAAAAAAATAATGAAGAAATATCAAAATTAAAATTATGTAAAAATTAAAGGAATATAATATGAAATGAAAAATTTTTTAAAATCAATTAATAATAGAATAAATTTAGATTTAAATTGAAATTAAATAACTAAGTCGAAAATAATAAAAGAATGTTTATAATATATAATGAAATATGTAAGTGAAAACAAGATAAAATAAAATTAAGAAAAATTAAATGAAATTAAATAAAAGAACTTGATCAAATTTACAAAAATTTATAAAATATGTGAATAATAAAATACATCTATAATGAATTATTAAGATAAAAAAAAAACCAAATAAAAAAAAACAACAAAACAAATAAAATAAAGTAAAAAAATTGTTTAAATGAAATGATAACGAAAACAAAGAAAACAAAAATTAATTAGAGTTAAAATTACATATAATTAAAAGATATTAAAACAAAATGAAAAAATTTCAAAAATCAAATTAAAACAAAATAAAATTGAAACAAAGTTAGATATAAATTTGAAATTAAATACCGAATCCGAAAATAATATAGCAAACAATAAAATAAAAAAAAAATAATAAAATAAAATAAAATAAAATAAAATAAAATAAAATAAAATAAAATAAAATAAAATAAAATAAAATAAAATAAAATAAAATAAAATAAAATAAAACAGGCCGGATATAATAGTGGTCGAAAAAGAAGTGAATAAAGAGTTTCTCATAGATATAGGCGTACCAAATACTCACAATCTTCAAGATTGTTATATGGAGAAATACAGAAAATACCAGAGCTTGGCATACGAGATGAAGGATTTGTGGAAATTAGAAAAAGTAGAGGTGATTCCAGTTATAATTTCGACAACAGCAGTTATTCCGAAATCATTGAACACTAGCCTGGAAAAACTCAACATGGTAGAAAAGCGAAGGGCCATACAAAAATCTGTGATATTATCTACAACGTCGATAGTTCGTAAATTTCTGAATATAAATTAGCATTAAGAAAAAGAAAAACTTGCAACTGTGTAGTATTGTCAATATCCGTTTGTAACCAATCTGTAGACAATATTTCTCTTATACTACTTTATAATCAATAGTGTTAAGTATTTTGTTGTATACCAACCAATACTTGATGTCAACCGGTAACGGAGAAACCATAAAAAATAAAATAAAATAGAATAAAGTAAAATAAATTAATATAAAATAAAAAGTAAAAAAAAATAAATAAGAAGAAAAATTATAGATTAAAATAAAATTAAAACAAAATAAAAAATAGAAATAAAAATAAAATAACACAAAATAAATAAAAATTAAATGAAATATAATAAAATATATTAAAATAAATTATAGTAAAACATATGTGAGGTTAAAAAGTACAATAATAAAAATTTCATTTATATAAAGCAGAATTTGAAATAAAAAAAAATCAAATACAAGTTACAAAATCTCGTATATCTACTTTAAATTTTGGTTTTGAATTTTGGCGTGAGAGAGAAATAAAGTAATACATATTTAAAAACGCAAATTTTAAAAAAAAAAAAATTTACTCCCTTTTTGATTGATAAGGAGGACCTTTAAAAAACGCTTTCAGGCAAGAGTTTTTCAATGAAACCTTCTCTTAGGAAAGTATATTATAAAATCTTTGACATTTCTCGTCTACTTACAAAGAAGGTATGTTTCCAAACCAACTCGATGCAGTGGAAGAAAAAACTCAGTCCCGGTCTCGGAGTTACTAACTCTTTCGTTGTCGCTACTCCACCCAATTACCTTGATTTTAGTCAATGCTAGTTTTCTTACAAAAAAAAAAAACTGCGCTTGTGTTTACCAACAACTACTTACTCTTTACAAACACATTTTCATAAGCTGCCTACATACCTTTACATTAATATATATACATTTATAATGTGATTCACCACCACAACACTCACCTGTCCATTCTTATCCATTTCATTATTAGTTAGTTTCACCTTCTCAAAGGAGATAACCTGTTTGCGCAACGCTTCACAGCTGAATGGACTATCCGGATGCGCATAGAGACGAGCTGGCGGTGCGGGATCAGCCTTACCGGCGACTAGCCAAGCTGAACGATGATACGCATAGCGATAACGTTTCGAGTCCATTGGTATGATATCGAGTAGCACAGCATAACGATCGGCAGGTTGTATTTGACGCAATGGACCGGAGAAGCTGACGCGTACAGTGGGGAACATGCGCCTAGAAAAAAATGGAAAAATAAAGCAAAATAAGTACAATTATGAAAAATCGGTTGAGTGGCGGGAATATGATATACATACATACATACCTATGTACATACAAACAAACAAAATATATGACTATGTTTTATGACAGTAGAGTGCTGTGATTTTTATTGCTGAGAAATGAGTGTAAGCATGTAAGTACATGTACATATGTATGTATGTATGTACCTATGTCTGTACGGGCGATAAAATCGAACTGTGTGGGCAAACTCGCCCAAGTTGCCAGCACCGCAGGTTGCCTTGTTGTCTATGTAAAATGTCTAAATGGTGGCTAGACCACTATTGCTATCTACATATCTGCGGCTACATGCAGGTATGTATGTGCGTGTGTGCGAAAATCCTTAAATTTATGCCTTAAATCCTTTCTCACAGCGCGTAGCTATGTACGTACATACAGATATTCGCCCTGCCTTGTTCATTCCATATTCTTCACCTTGCTTTGTATCTGTCAGTTACATATTTTCTTTGCTTTGCGCTGTTTGTGTTTTCATTATTCGTTGCGCCTTTGTTTGCTATAAACAAACCCAATTGTAGTATTTTTTTCCCGAAGCCGTTTTGTTGCTTTTCTGTTGTTGTTTTTCTTTCTTTGTTCACCTTTTTGTTTGCTATCTACTACCTTCACGCCAAGAAGTCAATGACAACTAGCAAGTATCCTGCGGTTTTAATGCTTCTAATACCAGATACAAACACTTTGACGTACATACATACATACAATGAAGGCAGTCAAGAAAAAAGATATATGTACATATGTACATAATACAACAACAACAACAACAAACACAGCAATATGCCTGAATCGTCGACGGCCAAAATAGGCCTTTTGCCCATGCACCAGATGACATAACTAAGTTAAAACAACAACTATGTATCTGCTGTTTACACCAACAAAGTCCAGCGGAGTGGAGCGCTGTGCAGCGGTGGAAGTAGTGAATTGAATGGCTGAATTCGTTACGGGGACCGCCCTGATTGTTAGGTGTGATTTTTACAATATCATTAAAGGTAAATGCAGGAAACGCACAGACTGCTTTTGTGTGTGTGTGTGTTTGTGTGTTTGTGTATTTGTGCGCGCTTGTGGCTTTGCTGCATGTTGCCAATAAACAAGTTGCGTAGCGGTGTGTGTTTTGTAAAAAAGGGGCTGGTTGGTGGTCGTTTCATGGCTTCATTTCTGCGCAAATGTGGTTGTCACAAGCACCACCATTCGCAGCAGCAAAACCACGAGCGCGCACCACCACTTTGACAGCTAGTCAGTCAGTCAGTCAGTCAGCAGCGCGGCGTGGATTTTTGTTTCCTGCTTTGAGATACAACCAGCGTTGCTTTGATTGCTGCACTGTAACTGGTTTTTGTTGTTGTTGTTGGTGGTGTTGGTGGTGTTGCGTGTGTGGTCAACAACATAAAAGAGTTCCACTTTATGACAGCGTCAGCACACAACTACTTGCACATAAAAATCGCACGACCCCCTAGCGTCATTTGCTGTCTTCGAGAAATCAAATTGCAAAATGCACTAAACCAGAAGAGGGAGAAGCAGAAGAAGAGCTGGTGAAAAACAAAAAAAAAAAAACAATTAACAATTGAAAATAAAATGCAATTCGCAAAAAGTGCCATGCCTAGTGGTTGTTGTTGACAACTGCAACGCCCTGTTTTTTTTTTTGCTTTTTGCTACAACCTGGCCAAGAGCCTACATAAGTAGATACAGGTCGATAGAGGAGTTTACATACGATATTGTTAGCAAGATTGATTGTTTGAGACGTGTAGGAGCCGTTGTTTCGAATTGTTCCATATTCTGACATTTGGGTGTTACACCAACTGTTGCCACTCTTTTTGCCATCCTCGATTGTAGCGCACAAGAAATCAATGGCCGCAGTTTTTTAATTACGAATGTGCTGAATTGGACCGCACACGTGCAAATTTTTTTCACAGAAATTTTCTTAGAAGTTTCTTCTTTTACTTCTGTTCGAAATGTTGATTTGTTTGTTAGAAGTGTAGAAAAGTGAGAAATTTGGAAAAATTTGCTCTTTAAGAAATTAATTGTGTTGAATTATCTAGAAAATTGTGCGCACAATGGAGGAATTCAAAAAAATTTTGATGTTCATATATGTACATATACAAATACTATGGTGTTCGACTATTCGCCCCATTCCGAAAACCGGTTTTCGAGTTATGCGAAAAATGGTAGTTATAAAATACCGGTTCCCCATTTTCAAATTGACAAAAAATCGGATGAATGGTTTAATTTTACATATCTTGTTTACAGTAACACTTAGATACTACTAGTTAAAAACCATGACCAAATTAAAAAATGACTCCTAAAAATTGGCTTTCATGTAGAAATCAATTTGTCAAAATAAGTTCGTAGAATTTTGGGTTACAAGTAAAACCTAAAAAATTAAGAAAAAATTCACTTAATGAGGGTTCAGCGATCGTAACAAGATTAGATCGCTACAGCAACAGCTCTGTTTTTCTATCAGTATATTATAGGCATTATATTATAGGCCACTCAGCGAGAATCAATCAGCACCTGAATTCCATCATCGGAGACCAACGTCACCTATCGCAGACAAAGAGCTCGTGAGGTTCGCAATACTTGGACATAACCCTATTCTGATATGGGAGCTGGTTAAACTGTTCAGCCCCATTTCTACCAGATGCCCGATGACATTAGCCCACCTCTTTATATGACCACTCACATCAGCTCATCTAACATCCCACAAAATGAAGCCGATTCACTGAGTTAGGCAGAGTTTAGAAAACGTGAAAAGTGAAAATGTTTGGTTCGATGCTCCTTTTATTTATACATAAATATAATAGTTTTCCGCAGTAAAAAAATATCCAGTAGTCAGATACAATATTAATAAAAATATTCAAATTCGATTTTCAATAAAATAAATATTTGAAATTTATAGATTCTTGTATATACATAAATAAACTAGTTGAAAACGCGGTTTATTCTATTTTAAAAATCTGTTTTACTTGGGATTCGAAAAATCCTGATTTCAAAAAGATGACCAAGAATATTAAAAAAAGACCGTCTGGAACCGGTTTGGAGAAACCGAGTCATTCTCCCTAATATATGCAGTGCATATTATGCACTGAGAGTTTATTTACGTCAGCTAAATACTAAAAAGACAATAAGCAAATCAGGCAGTCAAGACGATTTATACATATAAATATTTCATCCGCATGCGACTCACAGTGTTTAGACTATATGGAGGCAAGTAGAAAAAAATCATGGTGACAATTGATAAAAGAACCGGTTGGGCTTAGAGAGGGAAAAGTAAAGTCATAAATACAAAATTTCACATAATTTACTCACTCCCCCCCCCCCCCCCCCCCCCCCCCCCCCCCCCCCCCCCCCCCCCCNCCCCCCCTCGCTCTCCACGAACGGTACATTTCTAAAAAATACTGGAATCGACTAATCAGTTTAGTTGCCTTTGGCGCTTAACACATTAAAGCAAGTGTTTCTTTTTCATCTGTAATCAATTACTTAAGTGTTGTGGAATATTCTGGTGAAGGTATTTAACATAAATTTAGTATTTTCCTTTTTTTTTTAAAGTGTGAAATTAGACGCATATTTTAGAGAATTTTATTTACTTTTCGAATATATAATTGGATCTTTTCGCGCCACTTTACAAATATATGTAATTTTCGATTTTCTTAATTTCTGATTTTTAGCTTCTTTTTGCATAATTTCGCGAGAAGAATTTTACGAACAATGGAAAAATCTCGCCAAACATTTGAAGAAAAAAGAATATTTACACCTATGTAATTTAAAAGTATAACCTTTGTTTTCTGAGAGTGTAAAGCAGGAAACAAACATGAACCAAAATTCCATCACATTTAATGGCTGAGCCCACATTTTTTTTTTTTTGAGTTTTAGGACGTTATAGTGATCCAAACCTGTCCATATTTTATATTTTGGGTTTTCTAACAAAAGCGAGAGTACAAACTAAATTTCATCGAAATCGGATTAAATTTAATGTTTTTGCACACAAGAGTGGAGGGCGTGGCAATTATTCCATCGTTACCCAATTTCATAATGCCCTATTTCTAAGTAAAATTTGAGCACATGTCAAGTTTCAGCGAAATCGGTGGAGGTTCGCTATTATTTCCACCAGCTTCCATATAGTCGAGATACTGCGCGACTTATAGAAATATTTCAACCACGGATAATTAAATACATATAAAAAAAAACAAGTAAGTCGGTTGACTGTTTTGGGCGTGAGAGGGCTACATACACTTGCATAACTTAGACATGTAGATAGACAAATAGTCTATAGCTGCGAACAGTAGGTATATTGTACCTCGGCTCATCAGAACACTACATCTAACTCTAAAGACTTTATAAATTTCGGAATAGATCCCGGGGTAGAGAGTTTATGTGCTCTTCTCTTGTTCATATATATCTTATGCACCTCTCCCTTCTCCTTGCAACGGCCTAGCACTCAAGGAGTATGCGCAATTACGTATTTTTTAACGGACATTGTGGCATCTTAGCATACAATGATTCATTGAAAAAAAAACAGTAATTATTCTAAGCCTCACGTTAGGAAGGTCTCTGAGTAACCTACATATCCTTAGGTTGTACCACCCTAGTAAGCTCTTAACTTCAAGAAGACTGTGGTGTTTTGCCAATGCATATCTTCTTATGTACAAGTGCTTTCCGTCAAAAGAGCTTTTCTTAGTGAAAGTTGGCGAAGGAGCTTTGTTTTGTAAGATTTTCGTGCCAGAATAAACAAGTCTTACAAACTACCTTTCCCACTGTCTTTCAATTGTCTTACAGAAGTCTTTCAACTATGTCAGCTAGATTTGCAATCTAATAAGAAGATAATAAAAAGTTGAGAGGAGCCATGGATTGGATCATAATTTTGTCGTCTTAAAAGGGTTTTGACGCCAAGTCCTCCTCTATAGCTGTGGGGGCCTCCCTCTTCCTCTGCTACTACCAGCGGGTTCGGAGCTGAAAACTTTCAGAGCGGAGTCCAGCGGGGCCGTTGTATTTTAATTCGCCGCACTATGTCTATGTCGTTGTAAAGCTCATTCAGCTCATCGTTAAATCGTCTGTGGTATTTGCCGTCGCTGACGCGTAAAGCCTTGAAAATCTTCCGAAAAATGTTTCTGTCGATTACTCCAGAGTTGCCTAATCGGATGTTGTCATTGTCCATGATTCTGCGGCATATACCTGCCGGGCATGATGAGACACTTATAGAGTGTGGTTTTCGTACGACGAGAGAGGACTTTACTCTTTAATTGCCTTCTCAGTCCATAGTAGCACTTGTTGGCAATAGTGATTCTACGTTGAATTTCTATGCTGCAACTATTGTAATAATTATCGGTGTTAATGGCGGTTCACAAGTAAACGCAACCGAAATTATAACTGTCAACAGTGATGTCGGTGTCTATACTCGAATGCGCTGATTATTGGTTTGGTGGCAGGAGATACTTCGTCTTGTCCTCGTTGACCACCAGACCCAATCGCTTTGTATCCTTATCCATCTTGTTAGCGATGATGTCGATGTCATCGACGTACGCCAGCAATTGCACGCGGGCTGATCCCGCGGTAGTTGGTGCGTTTGGCGGGGTTGCCTTTCTTGTGGACTGGGCACAGCACTCTTAATTTCCAGTCGTCGGGTGTGCGTTCATCTGACCATATTCTGCATAACAGTTGCTGCATATACCTTATCAACTTCTCGCCGCCGTGCTTGAATAGCTCAGCTGGCAGGCTGTCAGCTCCAGCAGCTTTATTGTTTTTCAAGCGTGCTATTGCTATTCGTATAGTCATATAGTGGTGGAACATCGACGCCGTCATTATCGACTGGGGGCTCTACTAAAAATTTATTAAGTACCAAAAGGTTTTCTGTGATATTCGAGTACGAGTTCTCGCCGAGTTCATGCTATTCAAATATCTAGACGATAATTTTAGTACCAGGTTGGTAATACTAAAAACTAGAAACTATAACAAAATTCTTCCACATTTTCTAATAAACATTGCTTAGCTTTCTAACTCTGTCGAAGACATTTTTTCCCACCCTCAGACACCTTCAGGGCACATTTTCTTCCCACTGCGAAAGTGTTTAACAAGAAATATGTTTTTAGCGCGCCATTTAACACACAGCGGTGTGTCCTTGCCGTAATTTTCTCAACGTTGTTACTCGTATTTGCTGGTTGTGTATTAATTTGAAAGAGAAAAGGATTAAAATGTATTGCCACATGCAAACCTGCCGTCGCATATCACTTTTTTATTCTAATTTTGCTGTCGTTACGTTTTAAGCGTATTTCTTATTGTTTTTGTTTTGTTTTGTTTTGTCTGTTATCCGCTGCCGTTAATCTACTCACATTACGAGGTAATTTGTTATAAAATAATGCAAAAGTAAAAAGAAATACAATTACAAATAAATGTTATAGACCGAAAGAAAGAGTTTAATTTGCCCCCCTCTAAAATTAGTGCGACGCAATTGCCGCGAATCGAAAAACAAAAGAAAGAAAAAAACAAAAAAAAAAATATATCTAGTGGAGTGTTTATTGCCACGAACGCTACATGACGTCGCCGTGCGGCAAGTAGACTGAATGTCGCATGCTTGCAGCTTTGCAACTGCTGTCAGTGCTGCAATCGCCGTCGCTCCGACGTTTCACCTGACGTGCGCGGCATAAAAACCGCACTAATGCCACATTTGCATGTTTGGCCAAAACACATGCAACATCAGCGATCAGCGGACTCTAGCTTACATACATACATTTATATATACATATATGTATGTAAGTGGCATTGTCAATGGCAAACAGGCCGTCTGCAACACCAAACATCCCTGCCACCAACCAACGGCGCGGCGCAACCAACCAACCAACTCGCAGCTGCCCCTACGCTTACGCCTCACATACACACATATGCACTTTCATAGGGAATAAACTATTTTTTTTTTACTTTTTTACTACACGTACTTATGTATGTATTCAAATATTTATTTGCCTCTGTGTACATACCTGCCGGTTTTGGTGATAATCATCTCGGTGCCCAGCTCATGAAAGCGATCCCACAATTCTTTTGTCTCCAAATGACATTGCACCGGCTTTAGTTCATCACAATTGCAGGAGCCCACAATTTTCGGCGTCTTCTGCGGCGGCTCGGGTGTGAGACATTCCTCCGTGTCGGTGCCGGGCGATTGGGGAGGTGTGGAACGACCCTGGCTGCTGGTTGTACTGCTATTCAGATGATTCTGCGATGAGCTGCTATTATTGTGGTTATGACTATTACTATTGTTGTTGTTGTTGTTATTGTTATTGCTGTGACTGTGGCTGTGGCTATGATGGTGACTATTGTTGTGATGTAGGCGGCGCACCTTGGCCGGTGGTGGTTCTTCTGAATCGCTGCAATCAACCACATCAACATCCACTTCATCTTCCACGGAGATGGGACCTATGCAATGGATGAGAGGTGGGAGAGAAGAGAAGAGCAGAAAAATTAGATGTGAATACGACAGAGGCATCTGAAATGGCAACTAGGTCAAGAAAGTAGGCTAAAAACTACATATAAGTATGTTGTCATTTAAAATATGTAGCAAATTCCGTTCAGTTGTGATAGATGTATACAATGTTGCTGCAACATGTTGACGCGCGTTCGCGAAATTGCTGCTAAAAAATAGTGAAATTTATTGCTACTGCTTTATAATGCGAACGCAAATTAATTGTAATTATTTAGCACCAGTAACAATGTTTATGAATGTGTTTGTATATATATGTATATGTCTTTGTACTTGTGCAGCCATATTACACATTACTTGATAATTTATTTCCGTTGCGCTTGAAAATTTCACATTAACCTAATCGTTTAATTTTCACACTTTTTCTTGTATGTATTTTGCTTTATTTTACGGCACAGCAGCGAAAAGCCGTGCGCCATCAAGTAATGATTACTCGCCTTTAATTACTTAGTAAATTGTCAAGTGTAGCAACATTTCAAGCCAACAACTGCACTTGTTGCTGTCATATAAAATTCAATTATTCATAATTGTGCTAAATGCAGCGGCAACGGCAAAAAAACAACAAAAATCACAAATAGCCGCATACATAGCTGAAATAACATTAATTATAGTAGTAAAAACAGCGACAGCAGCAACAGCGGCAGTGGCAGCAGCAAAAACAAAATAAGCCAAGCCAACTTTACGATAATTATTGTTGTCATTTTTTGTTTTTTTTTATTGTTTTGTTATGCGCGTGTTGCAACTGCAAATACATATGCATTGGCAATAGCAATCTGGTCGCTTGGTGCACATATGTACGTATATGCCATATGTATGTGTGCAGAAAATATGTGTGTGCACATTAGGGTGGATCAAAAATGCATGTGAACAAGTAAAGTCGGAATTGTAATGCTGTCACCCCCTAGGATTGTTCTATACCGAAAAAATATACCCTTACTTTTTTTATTTTTAAATCAAAAAATATTTAGAGATCACTCAAAGCGCCCAAAGTTTTCCATGTATTTTATATGGGGGAAAACCACTTTTCGTATAAATGGTATAGAATACTTAAAAATCATTATTTCCCTACCAGAAAACTCTTTTTATCTGCAGAAGATTCCCAATAACAATATCCAATTGTTTATTTAACCATTTTTTCATCGCAACTATAATTTATAGGTCCGCCAAGAGCTCATACAAAACCCGAAAAATGCAATGTTGCGACTAATAAAAAATCTTTTGTATTTAAAAGTGGTTAAATAAACAATTGGTTATTTTAACTGAAAGTCTTCTGAAGAGAACCAGAATTTTCCGAACGAAAAGTATTGATTTTTAAGAATTCTATACCATTTCTACGAAAAATTTTATTTTTCCCATAAAAAATACATTGAAAACTTTGAGCGCTTTGAGCGACCTCTAAATATGTTTTGATTTCAGAATAAAACAATAGGGGTATAGAACAATCCTAGGGCGTGAGAGCATTACAATTCCGACTTTACTGTTTTTGGACCACCCTAATGTACATACATAGATATGTATGCCTTGATTTTTATGCGTTTATCACAATTATATTGATATAGTGCGCATTTTGCTTGGCAACTACAGCTTTCAATTGCCTTTGCTTTACTTTTTCATTTTTAAATGCTTTAATTTATTTATAATTAATTTGTTTTTTTTTTTATTAATTTTATAAGGTGTGAAGTTCATTAGATTAAAAAAAGTTAATAGGTATACGTTCAAAAGAGCACAATTTTCCGTTGTTGTTGATTTGTAGTTATTTCAATGATTTGTTATTTGCGTTGTTAACAGTTTTTTAATTGAGAAAAAAGTAAGCCATTTCCATGAGCTTTTAGCTCGGTTATTTATTTATTTGTGTTGAGGACCGTTAGAGCCAAAACTAACTAAGAAGTAATGAAATATTTAGGCAAAGGTGTGCAAATATCTCTTGGATTTTTCTTCAAGACGACAGACAAAAACGAGCATCCTGGCCATGCATGTTTTCCCAAAAGCTCGCCTACTGATTCTTTCTTGGACTTTTTCTCGATGTTATGCCTGAGTACTTTTTCGAAACACTAATAGCTTTCATACAGGTAAAATTTGCAGCCTCCATTGTTGTTTTCAAAGCGCTAGTTTCACTTTCAACCCAAAATTTGTATTTTTCTTCATTTCCTTGCAAAATTTCACAGGAACGTTCTATGAGGCAGTTGATATCTTGTTTCTGAGTGAATGTTGAGCTTGGGTAACAGAAAACAGAAATTGATACTTGTCAGAATGTCTTTGGAATACCACGTCTTCAATTCTTCTCTTGTATGGTATTTATGCAGGAACTTTATAGTACTCTTCATACTTTGGGAAGGATCATTGTTTTGATTACTTTGGCGAGGGCAAGTTCTGGTTATTTCCAACTTTTTAGCTAACATGGGTTCTTCAAATGCTGAGTCTTTCGGCGTCGAATGCCTTTGAAAGGACGATATTTTAGAAAAATCACACGTAGCCTTCGCTGCAGTTATTCTTCATGTCCCTTCACTTATGCGCTTTTATCGGTGCCCATGCGAATTCTGCAAGGACGACAGTTAATTGAATAATGGTGCATGATTATGATTATGATTATGAAATGGGGTTATCCAACCGGTGAGAGAAGCATGTCGTCTCAGGGTGTTCGATTATTTCGAGCTCCCTCTGTTCCTACCCTAGCTACGACTATGCTTGCCGAGATCCCTCCGTCCGCACATTAGCTATTCAAGAGGCATGTAGATTGGAGTATTTTTGTGATAAAGTAGTTAAAAAATCAAAAATTACATAAGTCTCTCAAAACATACTATTTCTCAAATTGATTTACCGATCCAGCGATGAGCACCGAAAAACTTCTTCCTAGCTTCCTGCTTTTTTTAGAAGGAATTCGAAGATTATTTGCTCTTGATGCTTTTTTTATACATGCTGTCTTTTGAACCCTTTTGAAATAAGATTGTCAGTGATAAAGGAAAAGTTTCTGAGTCCATCATTGCAAATTTGACGGAGAAGCTTTCTATAGCCATTTTATTATGGATTGTTAATGGCTGAAAACGTTTTTATTGTTTTTAAAAATGGTCCATGATGATCAATACACTTTTGGATCCGTTGGATCCATTTTTCGAAGCAATACACACGAGCCTCTTTTAGAGCGTTTTCTAAATTGTATGGGATACAACGCGAACACACCTTTTTTACCACAAGGTGATCATGCAAAATCTTATTGATGATCGTCATACTAATGCCCGAGAATACCTAAACCCTTCGTACACAAGACTACGCAAATCATACCCGTTGAGATATCAGCTGTTAAATTTGCCTTTTCTAGAAAAAGTTTACATATTTCTTCCTTTCGGAGTCAGCATTCTTGTAGTTCGAATTGGAATAAGTCTTCGAGTGGTAAAGGCACATCAAAAAAGAGAATGGAAATGATTAATGAAGGTAATATTTGTGTGATCAACTAAAAAGAAAACTAACATATAGCATGCTAAATAAAATAAAATGAATTTTGAAAATGGACTCTAATTTAAATAATAATATTCCAGTTTAAGTAGAACCATAAAAAATTGGTTTCATTTGGTGGTCTTCATGCTTTTTGGGCAAAATAAATATTCAATTTAGAGTTTTTAGGCTGAGAATAATGTTGCACTTTCTTGTGTTTTTTGTTTTCTTAGAAAACTCCTACGTGTGTTTTGCAGGGCTTTTCAATATTTCAAAAGGAGCAGTCAGCTGAGATGCAAAAAACGCCGTTTTAAACTTTTTGCTGCAAAATAATATTAAAGGGGTGCTCTCCGAAGAATATAACACCTACATAAAAGAAAGGGCATGAATGATATGCAAGTACATATGTGAATTGCATTTTTTGTTTAAACTTGCACGTTACTTAATTTTTTTAGCTTTATACTTAGCCTAGCTATGAGTAATATAAAATGAAAGTATACTTGTGGTGCTAGTGTTTTTGTTTTTTCAAATAAATACTTAAATACAAATTTTTACAAATAAAATACAAATGGGCTATTCCATTGTGACTGGTGGGACATTTTACTCCAGAATATGATCAATTGTGAATTATGACTATGTGGTCAGAGCTTATAAAACAGCGAATGATATTTTTTAACATAGAACGATAACTATAGAATAAAAAATACTTTAACAAAAATACCAAACGATTTCTAAGTTTTATGTAACTATCATTTGAATGCACGATTGAGAGAATACAAAGGTTGCGCCGATCTCGGACCGCTATTTCCTCTTATCGAATTTGACAGCATCGTTATTTGCATGACGTCACACTTGTGCAACTTGTTTACGTTTTCCTTGCAACATTTTTTTTCTTACATTCTTGCTCAAGTTTTGGCATTTTTCTCTCGCAATTGCACCAGTGTGACGTCACACAAAAGTTATTCTCAAAAATCCTCTCTGATCGGCGCAATCTTGTATTCTATCATTCTTGATTTGAATGACTGTAACTGGTGGGACACTGAATAGAACCCTATTTTACCCATGTGGTCACTCAAAGAAGAATTTTAGCCAAAGCACTTAATCTTCACGAACGATGTTTTTGTGTCGTAAAATATGAATTATACGTTTTCGCTTTCAATAAAAATGATGTTTATATAAACTTCGTAGAAATATTAAAAAATATTTATAATTTTGACTGGTGGGACATCCCGTTGTGACTAGTGTAAATGAATTATGCGTGAAATAAAAGTTTCCGTAGACAAAAATTACAACTTCTCTCGATTTTATTTAGTATTTTCCAACAAATCAATGAAATGTAATCATTTAAAAAGAGGTTACTGCAGAAATAGAGATAATTAGGGCATATTTAAATGTATGTCATTTTCCTCTTTCCAGCGGAATGACCAAAATACAAACGCTCGTGATACTTATATCCAAAAGAAACAGTTTTTATTTGAAGCACCTATGATTAGGAAAAATATATAGC